TACAAGCGACGTGAAATGGTTAGGTGATATGAAGTTTTCATAGATAAAACATTGTAACCAGTGATAGCTATCTTCGAGGATTGGATTTAATCCGTTGCGAAGACCTGAACGTTCTCTCGAGTCGCAGTCTTAGCCGTTTGTCGACCATTACCATACTACTTGCGAGTAGTACATTGGAGGATTCGAAAACGTTGGAAGTCGATCACCGGAAGAGCTGAAATGGGTTATTCCCTTCATTCTACGTTCATTTAGCCTCACAATTAACCCTACTAAAAACCTTAATAAATACATCAAATATAATGGTTAAGTTTTACACATTCTCCTTTGTTCAATAAGAAATGTACACACATTCACACTTTATTTTGTCAACGATGGGGAAATCTAAAATTTCGGGTTACCCGGAGGTTGGTTTGAATCGAATTAGGTATTTTTCTACAAACGGCTGTATAAGGTGAACAGTCACTTGGATTATTTATCTTATTATTTTCAGCAAGGAAGCAGTTAAGCAGGTTACGACTCAAAGAATGAACGAGCGAGGAACAAAAACTTCTTGATTTAGATAATATGACGCCATTATTCTGCCATCTCCCACATTGTCTTGTCTTTGTTTCAGTCGGTTCATTAGTCCTACAGAACATATTGAGAACAACAGCGTAGTGAACAAGTTCGTCTTCAGTTATTCGTAATCATGCCATTACGTAACATTAAATATGACTAATAATAGGAACGAAACAGGGAATGAGATATTCGAGCCCTAATGATTCAGCTGTGGCTCCAATCGTGCGTGCGTGTGGCTGTGTGAAATTGATCACAGTGTCAAAAGTTCAAGTGATTGCACGCGTGTTGGAGTGGCTGAAGTGGGCAGGGGAGATTAAATGCTTTCACAATTTTTTTTCTGGGCGCACAAGGGTGGTTGTGAATCCGAATACTTACGGCTTCGGCCGTGGCTAAGATACGATGCTTCACGGCTCTTGATTACCTACGTCGAGCCTTGTAAATCGGTCGGAACGCGTCTGCCACATTTACCAAGTGACTTGACTCAACGAGATGCGACCACACCGCGCTTGTAATTGTCTTAATTGTTCCAGTCCTCTGCCAATCCGGGTGGTGTTCACGAAAGTGATCGGATAATCGCCTGGTCGTGCGGCCAATGTCCCAGTCTCACGGGAACAGGTGAATGAATATACATAGAATGAGGCTGCAGAACCTGGCACTCTGTCCTTCAATCGGAAACACATAATTGGTTTAGATATGAACAAAGCTTTGAATTTTGCAGCGTAAAAGGTTCTGCTTACTGCACTTGTTAGCTTTCTTTGAAAAACTTTTGCCTCCATATCTCCCTTGAACACCAGATGCACATAGACAGACTTCTTCGCTGCTCATATTTCCTTTGGCCATTCCTCGTGTTCTAGCATTGCCCTATCGATAAATTGTTCGCGGTAGCCATTCTGAGTAAAAACAGTACGTAGGAACTAAAGTTCATTGTCGATAGTGTCCGTCGTGCATATTTTGTTCGTTCTTTGAAACAAAGAGCGAATTAGATTGCTCTTCCTCTGAAGAGGAACATAACTATAGAAATGGATATATTGTCCATTCCGCGTTGCTTTCCTATGCACCGATGACTGGACGGAGCTATCGCTGCGGCGTCTTATGACTATGTCTAGAAACGCTAGACTATTATCCTCTTCTTTTTCCAGGGTAAACTTTATGTTCCGAGGGACATTATTGAACTCCTCAGACAATCGACTAGTGTCCACATTTGCGTCTGATATACACAATACATCATCCACATATCGTCTATACAGGGTACACTGTCTGATATAGAGCTCCAGAGGATCATTCTCTAGTTTGGCCATAAACGTGTCAACAAATAATGGTCCTAAAAGTGATCCCATTGATATCCCGTCATTCTGGCGTTATAGTTCATCATTGAATTGAAACTGGACGTTGTGCGTGCATACGAATAA